AGCGCTTGCCCCAGCCCTGGTCCCAGCCCTAGTTCCTCCCTTACTGTGGGGGGCATTGATCTGTGCCCCCATGCCCCTTCTGTTCCACCTCCCCTTCCACTACAACACACTTACTAGCTGTACACAGCTGTATCAACCGTTGGAAAGACAAAACCCACATCGGAACAGAATGTCAATTTATAAATGTCAATTTATAAACGTTGCAAGTGACATTCATCACAACTTAGTCGTAAGTTGAGGACTGCCTGTGGCAGCCAATGTCACAAATTAGCCCCATACTGTCCCCAAGTGTCACTGCAATCCACCTTCTGCTGCTTCATCTGCTGCTCTGCTTTCTGTTCCCTGCCCTGTGCCCTTGCTCAATACCTGCTTTGCTTTCTGCTCCCTTCCCTGTCTGCTGCTGTGTTGCCTGGCCACTCCCCAGCTTGCTGTATGCCACACACAGGGTGCCCGTTGTGCTTATGGCACAAGTGCAACAGGTTGACCACCCATGACCTAGAGTTTAGTTATGAGCCAGCAGTGCTAAGAGTGATGTGGTAACTTGAGTGATCTTGCCATCTTGGAAAAAATCTTTCCTGGTAACTGAGAGGGTAAGGATATTTAATAATATTCTTATTATATCTGTTCTATGAGAAATGTATGAATAGTTATTAAATATATGGATATTTAATAATATCCTTATTAATTGATTCTGTGAGAAATATATGAATAGTTATCCTATTTTGTGTAGTCTACTCTGAATCCTATAGAAAATATTTTCCCTGTGAAGAGCTAGTTAAAGGATTTGTGTCTATACGTCTGTTTTTATTGCTGCTTTTTATACTTAACATTTATTTTCCAAAATTAAAAACTGTTTGGGGCCACAAACTAGCTGATACTGGCAGATTATGAAAACTTATGTAAGCATTAATCCAGTAATACATTAGCTATTACAAGCCATTGCTTTGTTGCTGTATCAAGGAAAATTACATTTTGTAGTCCCTTACTGAAGTAAAGATCTAAGAAGTCTCTATTGTATTAGATTTGTATTGGCTGTCTCTGGAGCAAACTATTACCAAAGGAGTATCTGTAGAAAAAAAAATATGTCCTGCAGTATGTACCCAGTTTGTGAACAAATGATATTTTTAGAAAGACACCCCAGCCCCCATAAAGTGTGATTCAGTCAGCCAGGACTTGATCCTGTTCCACCAGTCAGCAGCAGAACTCAGATTGACATCTGTGGGGCCCCTAGCGAATGACTTTAAAAAGAAATAATTTGCAGCTGTCCTCATAGAAACAAGTCCTTTTTCTTTTCCCTAGAATCACAAAAAGAAGCAATGTTAGGAAAATAGCTTAAAGTACAGGAAGGTTGGAATTATTTTTAAACAATGGTTTCAACTAAGGTAGCATATATAGACAAGCTAAAATTTAGCTTTGTGTGCCCCCGGATTGAGAAGAGTCCAAACAAACTAAGAGCCAGATTTGCAGGACTGCTTTCCATCTACAATTGGAATTGAATTTACTAGAAAAGCTCAGCTCTCATTTAGACACCTTAATGCAATGTCCAGGTTTGCTAAAGCACTTAGTATCTGGCAAATCCTATTGAACACAACAAGAGCTTCTGTTACTGAGCAGTTTTGCCAGGTTGCCGGATAATTATTCTTTTACAAGATGACTTAAATCTGGAGCATTTGGATCTAGGATGAGATGAGCGAAGCTGGCTGAAGTGAAGGATTTTTAAATATAGGACTTTCATATTGACATAGTTCTTTTATCTTCCTACTGAACAGTTGGTAGTTGTTATGATGATTTTTTAAGTAGTTTGCTAAATCATATGTCCTTACATAAGTACGACATTTGGGGGTGTTAGGGGGAGTTAAATTGATTCAAAATGGCTGCCCAATATCAGGTACATCAGGATGGGGGAGCTAGCTGGGGAACTGGGGGGTCCAGCAGGCTGGAGGGATTGGGGGTCCACCAGAGGTTGTGGGGAAGGTGCAACCTGTGGGTGGAGTGGGGAGGTGGGTGTGAGCTACAAGTGAGGTGGAGGAGCAGGTGCGAGCCACAAGGGGTAGGGTGGGACAGGCACGACATGTGGTGGGGTGGGGAGGTGCAGGCATGACCCATGGGTGGGTTGGGCTGGCAGGCATGACCCACAGGTGGGGGGAGGAAGCAGGCATGGCCCATGAGGGGTGGTGAGGGCAGGCATGACCTGTGGGTGGGAGAGGGGGCAGGAGCAACCTGCAATGGATGGGGGCAGGCATGACCCAAGGTGGGGGGAGGCGTGACCTGTAGGTGGGGTGAGATGGGGTCCCCCCACAGTGATCCTATACCCCCATTCCTCCAAGTCCTTCTGCCACTGGGACTTACTTGCTTGGCTACAGCAGTGGCACATGCTGATGAAAGCAGCTGCACCTGGCTTGTGGCATGGGAGTTGAAAACGGCTGAGAGGGGGGGAGCAAGGGGCCTGGGGACAAAAAAAGCAAAGCAAGGCAAGGGGAGAATGAAAAGAATAATTCCAGGGCTGGAGCCAGTGGCTGGGTTTTCTCAGCCGTGGGGCTACACAGGGGAAGTGGACAGAAGTTCCATGCACCAGTTTGATCTAAGTCAGATGTGTCTGATACTGCATGGATCCAGGGTTATCTTAAACCAAGTTTTGCAATTTTTAGACCAGTTTGTGGGTATGGAACTTCTGTTCAGTTACAGGTTTACACTGATTGCCAGTCACTGAGACCGGGTCTGTAAATGTAATGTTGGCACCAAAGTGAGCTAAATTTAAATCCAGCAGCCATTTTGAACCTGATATATATAACCTCACGAATGTCTGTACTTAGCCATTATGGGTAGGAGAAATATGTTTGATACATTAAGTGTTTTAAAACTAATAATCAGATAGTTTGTTAGGTTGGATTGTTACACTGATTAGTGTTATGGATTTTGGTATTTATATTGCAGAACATTGCCTTTTGATACGTTTGTGCGGAGAGCAGCTGAAGTCACACACACAGAGTATTTTATATCTGAGGTAATTTCCTTAGATGTTACATTTTTTTGCCAATGTTTTGAGAGAAAAAGGCTGCAATTTTTGGCCTCAGTCCAACAAAGCACTTTAACTGAAAGTTATCTATAACTTAGGCTGTTTTGGGGTCCCAGAAAATGAACCTTTACTAAAAAATTACTCCTTCCTCATGTGCACAATTTAGCTAACTACTTTAGTTAAGCAAGTAGGCTTGCTTGTGTGGCCAAAGATGATTTGCATGAGCAGGATTCCAGAATCAAGTTGAAGAAATAGACTTAAAATTATATTTTAATTATAATAGCAACTTTAATTTACATATTTTGCTGTAAAAGCTAGTGGAAAATACTCCTAGTACAGCTGTAGCTCCAGTCAAACATATGAGTATAAACTACATAAATATTGTAGCATACTTAATGAGTAACAAATGATTGGGTATGCAACTATGTCCAGACAATACTGATTTTTTTGGATGGATGGATAGGAATTTGCCCCTCCCCAGAAAATGTAGTCCCTGAATGTCTACTGGACAGTGGTGGGTGAATAATTCCAAATCATTTTTCAAATGTGCCTTCTACTATTTATTTGGAAGCTATAGCATGTTCTGAAATACACTGTTGTGATTTGCTGTATCAGTGTTATGAACAATTTTTTCATGTACTACAGAGTCAAAACACTGTTGAAGCAGTTGAAAATGTGACTTAAGCTTCCATGTGAAGCAAGGTGTTTTATCTTTCTTTTCTTTAATTATTGAATTGCACCCTTACACCTTTGGGTTTACCTGTTTCATTTAATTAGTAAATCTTCTTTTGTTTCCATTTCCTTGGATAGGCACAAGAAAGCAATAGAAGAAAAGGCAGGTCAGCATAGTAGATGAATTTATAGGTGTCATTTAGTTGCATCACATTTTAATGAGGCCTCATTAGTTGAAGCCCTTTGTTTGATATATAATTTTTGTTCTTTAGTTCTATTGACACATTTCTTTTGTGTTGGTGTTTTAAGGATGAAAAATATTATTTGCGATCCCTGGGTGAAGATCCAAGAAAGGTGGGTAATTTGAGATTGCTTTTTGTATATTTTAGATTAAGTTTAATTTCTGTAAGAGCCCTGCTCTGATCTTTTGACTTCCATAACCACACAACTTATGATCATTTGCCCAATCAATTGATTTAGGCCCAGTTTTTTAAATCTAGATGCCTAAGACCAGCACCAAAATGAGAGTCAGGCACTGAGATTCTGTTTTCAGGTGTTGATAAAGAGAAATTGATCTGGAAAAAGAGCATGATCCTGATATTCCCTGGCCATTGTAGTGTCCTTCTGACATGCTGCAGACAACGTAAATCAGGGCTGTCAAACTCATCTGGATTCAGGTCAGGCCCATAGACCCCTTTCTCTTGCCCCTCCCTCTGAGCATACCTTATCTAGCAGCCACTCCAGGCAGTCTGGGACCTGGGCTGTGTGCAGCAGATTGGTTGGAGTGTAGTTGCCCTGTGGCACGTGTCCCAGAGTGGGTTTTGTGTCCCACACTGGCTAGGGATGCCACTGCATGCAGTGCAAGTCTTGCTCTGGTCGGACTGTGCAGCATGTGGTGCCCATTCCAGCTGTTCTGGGATCTGCATTGCATGCAGCATGGATCCCAGGCTGGCTAGAGCAGAGGTGGGCAAAATATGGCTTGCGGGCTGGATCTGGCCTGCAAAGCCATTCTATCCAACCCATGGGGCCCCTAAAAAAATATACAAAATATAATATTTATCTGCCCTTGGTTCCTGTCAAAAATGACAGGAACCAAGGACAGTAGGACCCAGGGGAAGCCTGGCGGGCTCCCACAACAGCAGGGCCCACCTGGCCTTGCCCCTCCCCCCCCCAGCCAGTAGCCCCAGCAGGGGCTTCTGGCCTGAGACCACATGGCTGTCCTGCTCCAGAACCACAGGTAAGGGGAAAGGGGGGGAGGGCAGGGGAGGAGCCCAGGGAAAAATGGCCTGGGGAAAAGCTGAGCATGTGGAGAGAGGGGAAAAGTGGCCCCTCACCCACCCCGTGGCCAGCACCCCATACTGCAGCCGCTTGCAGCCCGCCCGGGGATGCCTGTGCCTGCTCTGGACAGCCCCGCACAGGCTGCAAGTGGTTGCAGCAGGGAGTGCCAGCCAAGGGGTAGGCAAGGGGCCACTTTTCTCCAGGCTCCTTCCTGACGCGGAGGAAAGTGGCCCCTTGCCCACCCCACGGCCAGTGCCCCACACTGTAGCCACTCGCAGCCCCACATGGGCTGCAAGCAGCTGCAGCACAGGGTGCCGGCCACAGGGCAGGGAGGGGCTGCTTTTCCCCTCCTCAAGCTCAGCACCACCTTGTAACCTGGCCCCATAGCCACCCGGGCCCCACACCAGCTCCGGGCTTGCCCATTGGGGCTGCACGTGGCGACAACAGCTGCGGCCTCCCCTGCTTACCGCGCTGGGAAGCATTTGCCACTGCTGCCTGTGAGCTGCCTAGCATGCAAGCTTTGGGCGGGCAGCAGCAGCAAACACTGCCCAGTGCAGCAAGCAGGGGGCTGTAGCTGCTGTCACCACACGCAGCCCTGACAGGTGAGCCTGGAGCTGACGCAGGGTCAGGTTACAAGCTGGTGCTTAGCATGGGGAAAATCAGCCCCTTGCTTGCCTTGTGGCCGGTGCCCTGCGCCGCAGCCGCTTGCAGCCCACGTGGGGCTACCTGTGCCTGCTCCAGACAGCTTGGCACAGGCTGCGAGCGCTTGCAGCAGGGAGCGGCGGGTGAGGGGCCGCTTTTCCCTGCACTCAGCATCAGCTCCTTCCCTGCCAGGGAGCAGGGTGTCGGGGCTATGCGCTGCCCCCTTCCTGTACTGTGGGGCTGGGGGACACTGGGAGTGAGCAGGTACGGGAGCCAGCAGGAGCACGGGGCCCACACCGGTGTCCTGGGGCTAGTGCCAGCGGAGCAGGGTGGCAGGAGCGTGGGGTCCCAGCCAGCAGGGGCTCTGGAACCAGGCCAGCTCCCGCTTCTCCCTGCTGGTGCAGCCCAGCCTGGTTCCACAGATCCGTGCCAGCATGTGCCCCGCTTTGGGCCCCACTGCTGCTGACCCTGGGACATTGGTCCCAAGATGGTGACTAGGAGGCAGGGCACCTGTCAAGGGGCAGGGCTACCCATGCGGCCCTTGACAGCCTGCTAAAACTGGGTAAGCGGATCTCTGCCCAAAATAATTGCTGGCCCCTAGGCTAGAGCATCCACCAGATCAATTGTACTGGGGGAAGGAGAGGGGAAAGAGGAGGAGATCCACAGGCCCAGTTTGGCTTGTGAACTGGCACCACGCCCTATGTCGGTCTGATCAGACCCAGAGGTAGCACTAAGGGCCAGATGGCAAGCTGTGCAGGCTGGACCTGCCTGCAGGCCATATGTTTGATATTCCTGGCTTAAATCAGTGCATCTTTTGGTCTGTTGTTATTTATACTGGAGACTGAATCAATGTCCAAATGCCAAAGACTGCAGTCAAAGACACCATTGTTCACAACTACCAAACAATGCCACATGGTCTGTGGTCACAGCTGAGGATCTAATCCTATATGCCTGTTTAACGTGGTAATAATCCCATGCTTTCACTTGAATTTATGTCTGATATATGAAATATTGAACTATGTCCCTTTTTGATTCAGGATATTGCAGATATTAGAAAGCAATTTCCTTTATTGGCAGAAGATATTCAGATCCCAGAATATTTTGCAAAGGAACAGTTCTTCTCCAGTGTCTTCCGCATCAGCTCAGCAGGACTGCAGCTGTGGACACACTATGATGTAGGTAATGTATGTCCTTGTGCCTTTGTTATCATAAGGTGGTACAGATCTTGGATGGGAAGTGGTGCATCAGGTTGCCAACCTTTAGGGGTAGAGGTCTGCTTCTATTAGTGAAGAACCTTAAATATTTTTGGGTACTAGGTAAATCATAAATGACTTCAAGTATGGTCTGCCTAACACATCTGCCATTTTAAGCATAATTCAATATTATTATTAATTGTTTCCTGATCCTGAACCCCCTGATGCGAGTGAAGAGTTGCATGATTGGACTTTTAGGTTTTACTGATTGGTTTGCTTAACAGTCAGGAACTTAAACACTAACATCTGTCAACATTACTGTCTTCAGTTGAGGTAAATGTGCTCAGGACCTGCAGAATTGCCTTATTTTGCTACTCTAGGCAATCCTTATTTTTTCTGTGGTGATTTTGACACCTTTCTGCTGCACTGGATTCTAAATAAACGGCAGATTTTAGATATAGGAATAGTAGAGCCAGCGCAAAAACAATTTTTTTAATCAGTGGTATGTCAGATTGTAATGATGCTGAAACATGATAAAAGGAGTTCTAAATATATTCTTCATTATGCTTGATTTCCCTAGAAGGAAAGCATAACATTCCTTGAATTTTTGATGGTAAAGCTCAAATCCTAGTATAAGGGAAGAAAAAACAGTAAGTATTGTTGAAAAGAAAATAAAGCTTTTTCTTCCTCCTATGACTAGTAACATGTGCAAAAGACATAAGGGACAAAAATAAGTGTCACATGACTGAGATTTGCAGGATAATTTTATAAATGGCAGCAATTTCACTTAATAGGTTTTCTGAAATTTTAACACAGAGATAATATTCTCTTTTGTATTCAAGATGTTGCATGTTACAGAGACTGAAAAGCTACGTATTTTTAAATCAGCTGGACCTGATGTAATTCACAAGTATTAAGGAGAATAGATGAAGCAGTGGTTAGAGCCATTAACGATCATCTCTGAGAACTTGTGGAGGACAGATGAGATTTCAGAAGCCTGGGAAAGGGCAAGCATACCCTAGAAGATAACCATGGGATAAAAACAAGGGTCAACATAGATATGTTAAGAACAGATTATATCAAACTAATCTAATTTCTGTCTGTGGCAAGGGTACAGGCATAGTAGAGAAGGGGTGGGGTGTAGTAGAGATGAGATGAGTCTTACATGATATTCTCATAAGCAAGCTTGGGGGAAATATAGTTTAGATCACCAATTCCCTAATAGGGCTATATCACTTAACAAGGCAGGGGGGCCAGGAGCCCTACGGAAATGTAGTTACAGCATTTAGGCTCAGATTAGATGTGGGGTCATGAGCCTGAAAGTAGAAAGATTGGAAACTCATGGAAAGTGGGTGCACCACTGGTTGGAAAACTGATATGCAAAGAGTAATTGTCAGTGGTTTCACTGTGAATTGGGAAGGATTTAAGTAAAGTTCTGCAGGGATCCAGCATTATTTAACATTTCCATTAATGACTTGTGCTTTCTCTGTTCTCTCATCCTTAAATTTGCAGCGGCCAAGCTGAGAGGGCTTGCAAGTACTTTAAAAGATAGAATTAAAATTCAAAGTACAAATTGGAGAAATGCTATAAAATATATAGGATGCAGTTCATTAAAAACAAGTTTGAAGTATCACACTTAAACAAGAATAGTCAACCACATGACTACAGAATGGAGAATGACTGGCTGGTTCTCCAGAAAAGGCATCTGAAAGGTTATAGTGGGTCACAAATTGAATACGAGTAAACAATATAGAGGTGCACCAGTATGTCGGTCCAATATTGGATTGATACTGATATAAAGAAAATTGGTGGTGTTGGAAATTGGCCTGAAGTGGCCAGTAATTTGGCTGATAATTGCCTGTGCGTGTGTGCAGCTGCAGCGCAGCATGTAGGCAGCGAGGAGCAGAGCCCAGCAGAGTGCAGCTAGTAAGTCTGTTGTGGTAGAAGGGGAGGGAGAGGAAAGGGGCTTGGTGGGGCAGATCAACACCCCCCGCCCCCATGGTGAGGGAGGGGGAGCAGGGGCAGGCACTGCCCAGCCGGGGTAGAGTGGGCATGGGACAGAGCTGTGGCTCATCTGGGGGGTGGGGGGGATGGCTCTTGCCACTGTGTGCACCCCGGGAGGTCATGGGGGGTGCCCCCAGATCTGTTTGGGGCGAGGAGGGCGGGCTGGAGCCAGGGCTGCCTGCGCCACACTCTTTTTAGTGGAGGCTGGGCTCAGGGCAGGTGGCGCTGGGATAGGGGCCATGGAGGGGGCTGCAGCCACCCCAGATTTTGCCGTAGCCCTGCTCCCAGTGCCGCTGCCACTTGCCTGCCAGAGCTCCAGCTCTTCTTGGCACGTGGGTGGAGGTGGGGGGGGTTGAACTGGGGCTGTGCCAAGTGAGTGGTGGTGCTACCAGGGGGGTTATGACAAAATTTGGGGTAGCTGTAACCCCCTCTGTAGCCCCCTCCAAGTACCACCACTGCCTGCCCTGAGCCCAGCTCCAGCCCGCAGCTGCAGCCCGCCTACCCTGCACAGCACTGATCCCAGGGCACATCACCACCCCCACCCCCACTCCTTCCCAGGGTGTGCTCAATGGTGGGAGCCACCCACC